AAGAGGAGGTAATTCTTCTAGGCCTACTTCAGGATCTCCCACGATAAGGACACCTTTCTGACTGTGATAGGTTGCTGGACTGTCTTGGATCAGCTTGAGAGTCGTCAAAGAAGGAATGATACGAATTCTAAACTTTTCAGAGAGATATTCACCACTCTCGTCCTTTAATGCTGCGAATGGAATTCTGTGCAAAGAACGGTCTGGAACGATGATCATCTCAGATCCCTCCACAAATTCACGCACAGGAGCAATAATCATGTTATACAACTCTTTAAGGGCTGGCGGATCCTTCTGACCTTCTTCCTCATGCTCTTTACCCCGAGAAGTGGTGGGAGTTTCTTTTACTTGTGTTGGAGATCTTGCCTCAGCATCGTCATCCCAGAGAAACAAGGAACGATCTTCACATCGTTCTCCTTGCAAGAGCAAAAAGTCTCTGTAGGTCTGATGTGCCAATGTCTCCAGCCAGCGTTGAATGGACTCGCCCTGGGGTCTGATGTCTGTCGTAAGCCCTTTATTTGTCACAACTTCTACCTTGCCAGTCTTTAAAACCCAGCACAAAAGATTTTCATGTACAAAATAAAATGATAGGCCTGTGCAGGATTTCCTTTGTATGAAATTCCCGAACTCTACCCATCGATTGGGATTAAAACCGGGTAACTGTTCGATGGAATATTTAGTTGCCATCGACTCTGCCAGTGATCTGGCACGTTCCAGTTCTGATACGTTCAAAGCCATTTCAATGCATTCCAGTTTCAACAAGACTGTAACCATAAGTCGATAAGGAGCAGCATTTTCGTCAGCCAGCCCTATCTTGTAGTACTCACTCTCCCCCACTAATACTCGCATTTCCTCAAGGGCCTTAATGCTTGCTGAGAGATATTTTAAAGCTTTTGGCATATCTTGAGCTGATACCACATAAACCACTGCTAAATTGCAATAGCTTCTAATTTTCCCTTTCACGTCTCCCATCTGTTCAGAGATCCGAACTGCCCTTTTGAAACATTCGGACCCTTTATGGAATTCATTTTCGGACAAGTGCAACGACCCGAGGTTGTTGTTCGTTGTCATTTCTAGCTCTTGGTTACGAGTTTCTATTGAGAGTGCAAGTGACATCTCGTAACATTCCCTTGCCTCAGCGTGTGCACCCAGTGAATGATGTAAACCACCAAGGTTATTGAGAACAGCGCCTTCTGAATCTTTGCTTCCAATTTGCTTGGTGATTGCCAATGACTTTTCCAAATACCTCTTGGCCGTAGTTAAGTCACCAAGAGATTGATAAACAGATCCAAGATTGCAATTTATTTCCCCTTCTTGCCTGATGTCTTTGACTTCTTTGCTGATTTGGAACGCCTCTTTGTAGTGCTCTGTCGCTCTTTCGTGTTCGCCAATAGTTTGCTCTATAGATCCCAATCTGCATAATATGTTTGCTTCAACTCTTCTGTCGCCAATTTTTTTGGCGATGGCAAGGGCTTTTTGGCAACATTCATTGGCTTTCACAAATTCCCCAAGATACTGACAAACAACTCCCAGGTTAAGATATTCTGCAGATAGCCCTTCCTTGTGATCAATTCGAGTCTTAATCTCCAGCGCCTTTTCGTGGTGCTTGTATGCCGCCTCATAATTGCCAAGATGCTGGTAGACAGTTCCAAGATTGCCGTAGTCTATTGCCTGCCCTCGTACGTGATTTGTTTTCGTAGTAATATCGAGTGCTTGTTGATGGCACTTCTTTGCTTTGCCATAGTCTCCAAGGGCTTGATAGGCAGTTCCAAGGTTACAGTATGCGGTCCCTTCACCTATTTTATCACCAATGATTTTACTAATATCAAGCTTTCTTTCGTAACACTTAATTGCCTCGTGGTATCTGCCAACAAAAAAGTAAAGGTATCCAAGTTGACAAATTGAAGACCCTTCATTCTCTGTGTCACCAATTTTCCTGTACATTTCAAGTGCCTTTTTCAAGTTGAATTCTGCATTTTCATAGTCACTCAGACTGCATGAAAAAACTCCCAAATCGAAGTATGTCGAGGCCTCTGCTTCTTGGCTGCCAATTTCTTTGCTTATCTTCAGTGCCTTGCGATAGCATTCCCGAGCTTGATCGCGTTCACTCAAATTAATGTGGACCTTAGCAAAATTTAGGTGATCCGTGATTTCCCCTTTTTTGTCTCCGAGTTCCACACTAATTTCGAGAGCCTTCATGTGCAATTCTTTGGCTTTGGCATATTCACCCCTGATGTCACATAATGTCCCGAGCTTGCCGTATGCCACTCCTTTGTCAAACGTCTCGCCGACGTCTTCTGCGATCACCATCGCCTCTTCATAATGTATTTTTGCCTGTTCGTATTCTTCATTTTCCTTGTACAGATTGCCGAGAGCGATGAGTACTTGTGGTTCGTTCTTTCTATTTCCAGTTTCTCTGAAGACTTCACGAGCTCTTTCTAAATAGTCCTTAGCTTTTGGGTATTCGAAACGTGACAAAGATACAGTACCTGATCGATAAAGAAATCCTGCTATCGTTTCTTTCCCTTGAGTGTTTGCTTCCGATAGTAATCTTTCAAAATTTTCTCTTTGATCAAGAAATAGAACTTCATAAACATTCATCATTTCATTAAAGATATACGAGACTGCCTCCTCGTAGCTTTCTTTGACTTCCACCTGTTCGCCAGTCGACTGACACACATCGTCAATTTTGCCAATCAGCAATCCAGCTCCGCTTTCGCTACCACCAGTTTGGTATACTGGAATTGCTTGTTCCTCGTTTTGGGCGGCTTTTTTGCTGTCGCTGACCAGGTAGTTAAGCTCAGATAAAAAGCTTAGTGCTCTTTCTTTTCCCTGTCTATCACCAATTTCTTCCCAGATTGCCAGAGCTTGTTCAAAATAGTCCTTGGCACTGGTAAATTCGTATAAGGGTATTGAATACTCTCCTAGGTTGCAAAGAAGTGTTGCAAACGTTCTTTTCAAATGTTCTCCTTGCTGAAGCCTTGACACCTCGTTAAGGTAGTAGGTCCGTGCTTTCTCGAAACTTTCTTTGGCTTTTCCGTTCTCGCCGATCGATAGGTATACATCTCCCATTTTGTTGAGCAACACGGCTTCACCTCCATAGTCGTCATTTTCGCGAAATAGACAAAGCGCTTCCTCACCACTCTGGATTGCATTTTTGTAGTCACCAACAAGACAGTAAAGATTAAATTGCCGGTCATAGACCAGCGCGAAAAGTTCGTTCAGTTTGTCTTTTTTTAATTTCAAAGAATGCTTCTTTAGAAGAACCAAACACTCACTGAGCAGCTCAATGGCCTTCATGAATCGACGTGTCTGAAGCAAAATCGATGCCACCGCAATACCGACAAAGAGAACTTGAAGAATCTCGTCTACGTCAGCCATTAGAATTGCAAATGTCAGTCTGACAGCCTAACCTTAAATGTAACATTAAAGCAAATCATTGTTAACGTAGGTCTAAAACCATTAACTTTTTGCAAAGTTTGGTGCCCCTTGTTAGCAGGAGGTGAACTGTATGCTCTTCGTTTTTAAAAGGGGGAATTGCAGCGTCTGGACGTTTGAACGAGGGGCTAGGGGCATTGTTTCTGTTGCTAGGTCTATTGTTCTTTTAAAGATTATCGAGTCATTCACGTGACCTTGTGAGAGCAACCACTTGATCCGTGTAGAAGGGCTCGGTTTTTATCTCAGACCAAGTTTTCATAGCTGTTCTTTTCGTCCCTCATGAATATTTTGATGTGAAAGTTTGAATACATTACAAGTTAAGACACTCGCGATGACGTGCGCGACGGGCTTCATCGCAAACATTAGTGCTATAATTTTCTGAGCGATTAAAATAACTACTTCCTCCCAGTGCTAGTTTCATAAACAATCTTTAATCATTATCAACTCCTTTTAGTCAGGTGTGAACATTATGGGACGTTCGATAAACAACTTCAATCCTATTGAGAGCCGGCTTGTTTTAAGCAGAATACCGTCCGTAAACTGCCGCTTGTAAGTCCCCTGGGTTATAGACCCAATTGCCGGTAAACAAAATACTACTTCCGATTATAAGCACTAAGCCCCCACTCCCCTATTGGATATAATCCCCCGTCTGGTTTAAAATGAAATGAATGCCCGTTAATACGGTCACCGACGGGCCGTGAAATTGTGGTCGTTTTAACGGGGTAGCCCTGTACTAGCTAATAACGGGGTAGGGTCAAATTTCATGAATGGTAAAAACTGAGTGATATATCACAATCGCACTTCTAAACAACTGTTCTTTAATAAGCACCGGGAATGCAGATATAATTTTAAAAAATTGAAACTTCGATCAGTACGTACAATACTAACAATCGAAAGACGAACATAACTGTTTTAAGTGGCCGAATGAACGGGGTAAAATTATAAAGGATAATACAGGTTAGGACTTCAGAATGAAGCGGCTGGCCGTATTAACGGAGAGTCCACAATAGGGTTCTCAGATCCCGCTTTCCCGCCTATTTTCCCAGTTAATCCAGCCCACTTTTCAAAGCCGTTTCTGCGATAATTATTAATTTTTTAATTAATAAGTCAATAATTAACACAGAAACTTTTTAAAAATAGATATGGCGCAAATGATCATAAAAGGTCTAAAGGCTTACCTTTATTCAATGGGTAGCAGATAAAATTAGTAAGCACAAATGATTGTAACGTTTCTTTCTGTAAACGGTTTACTGTTTTTTTGTTTTTTTTTGTCCACCTACCATTAAAAGAAAAAGATTGTTCACTCTCATATTCAAGGCCAGTTTTTTTCAAAGCTTTCAACGTCTTCACTTTCCTCGAAATCTGGCCTCGGAACTTTTCTTTCTGAAGGAAGGCATTCCCGCACGCAACCTTTTCGTAATATATGGCGACTCAATGATTTATAACGTTGCATACTTCGTTCGGCAAGTCACTATCATCGCCATTCGGTGTGGCCATACTGGCCAAACCAAGCCAAGCACTCGGGAAAAGGTCGAAAGACTAGAAAAACTAAAAAGGATCGAGGGGTCAAGATTACAGATGCAAGCGTCGGAAATGTGGGAAAAGGACAGATGTCATTGATGTTAGAGGCCAACAGAAATCATCACGACTCAAAGACCTCATTCAGTTTGATGATACTAGCGTAGTCAAGCTATAATGGATACGTTTGATAGAACCTGACAGAGTACAGAGCCGTTGCTATTCATTACTTGAAACCTGACACAGCTATACGTACAAAAGATTCGTTTCTGCCAGCTTGCGGTTTTTGCGCTGGTCAATTTATGAGGTCACGTAAGAACTGAATTGCCGTATCCCGCTCATTTTGCATCCCAACCCCATAAAAACACGAAATCCCGCCCTTGCTCGTAATTGAAATTCCCGCTTCCCACTCCACGAAAAAAAGCAAATCCCGCATACCGAAAATATCGCATCGTACCGACTAGCAGTTCCTGGGTCTCTGAGAATGGGGAAAGGTTGAGGTGGAGAGAACACGTTGCGGCCCTATGTGTCTCGTGGCACGAAGGGGACAGTTAGTATAAGGCCACAGACCAGAATCACTGGTGACCTAGCCTGCAGAGCAGGCGAGATTTTTTCGAGCGAGCGCTCACATCGTAAAAAGTTTAGCCGCCATCTTGAATTTTTCATGCAGTGGAAGACTGGGG